AGAAGAAAGAAGTTTCCAAAACACAGTAATTTTGAGCATCGGAGATGTCGGGTTCTTGTGTGGCAAGCTCCTCCCCTCTGATGCTCCCAGCAGGATAAAACAAACACAACTTCTCTGTCCCGCTGACTCTCTACAGTCATGTGAAAAAGAAAGTTTTCACAGGAATCTGTGCAGTCTTGTGAAAAACCAAGCACACCCCACGATTCAGTAGCTTGTAGAACACATTCAGCAGCGTTAACTTCCAGTATTTATTTTCTGTATGACTTTATCAGTCTCTCACATGGTCACGGAGGAATGTTGGTCCACTCTTCTTTACAAGGTTTTCTTTAGTTCATTGAGGTTTGCAAGCAATCGATTATGCACGGCTCTCTTAGGGTCCCACCACAGGACTTCAAGTTGGGCAGAGGTCTTGACTTTGGCCCATTACAGTACCTTGATTCTTTTCTTTTTCAGCCTTTTGTTCTGCTGGTGTTTCCATGGTTACAACATTTGCTTGGTGAGGTGAAAGATCGGTCGTTTGATTCCAGCTGGACAGAACTTTAGGATTGCATCAGGAAAAGCAGCAGGTGTAAAACATGCAGAGTTACCCTTGTGACAAAGTTTGTGGTTGGTCATTGAGCCTCATCTGCTCATATAGACTCATATAGACTATTAGTCCATATGCACAGTTTGGGCCAATGTCCTGTTTCATGACCCAATGTCAGCCAAGCTTTAGCTGTCAGAGAGATGTCCTCACAGGTGCACCAATGGCTGACTCAGAGGCTGCAGAACAAGCCCAAATCATCACCCCTCCACCACCGTGCTTAACAGTTGATGATGATGTGTTTGGTTTCCACAAAATGTGAAGCTGTGTACCATAACCAAACAGCTCCACTTTGGTCTCATTTCTTCAACTGACATATGAACCACATTGTTCCAGAAGTGTTGTGGCTTTTTCAAATGCCGCTTTGCAAAGTTAAGCTGTGCCACGTGTAGTTTTCAGAGAGAGGATACTATTTCTGGCAACCCTCCAAACAAGCAAAACTTGTCCAGCCTTTTTCTAACTTTTAACTAACACGCTAACTGAGGCATGTAGAGTCTGAGAAGCAGCTCTTAGGGTTTTTGTACTTTCCCTGATCATTGGGATGAATTTGCTGGAATATCCACTCCTGGTGAATATTGAGCCATTATGTTGAGTGAATGATCCAGAACAACACTTCTGCTTTTATAGACGTGCTCACACTTGCAAACGATCAGTTAAATTGTATTTGATTAGCAGTACCAAGCTGCTACTTACTATCTTAAGTCCTATGGAAGCAGTAAGGATGAACTTAGTTTTTCATAGGATTGTATATCAAATACAATTTACCGCCACTTTATACAGACTTTATTTTTTCCTTATATAACTTGACCTATTACGTATGGACTGACAAAACCTGTTTTGTTACAGAGTTGGCCAGACTGAGATCATTAACATCATTGCAGTGGCACAGAAACAAAATGTTAACATTTTTAAATTGCTGAAGGACAAATCATCAACTGTTTATGGTTAGTCGGTCTTATCACTTGCACACATAAGCATACCTGTCATGTGAAAGTACACTGTGAGGTCTGTAGAGAATGATTCTGCCAGAGTAACTGTAGTTAATGAATGCAACTCCATTTCTATGATTTGTCTTTAGGCCTCTGAAGGGTTCACCCCTGGTTGTGTGGGATTGGCCCTGTGCTCTGCTCTGCTTTTCTGGAGCTGTTTCACAGTTTGTTTTTCTTTCTTTGCCAGCTTTAACAGCTCTCCAGATTCCTTTGTCCGTGGCGATGTGGGACAATACTGCACATGAGCAGCAGTCAAGAATCAAGGGGATTTAGCATTTAGTGTTGAAGTACTTGGAGCAGAGTGTTTCCTGTGATGCTTGTGCTTTCTGTCGTGCACAGCCTCAGTTTTCCAGCCTGAATGCACACATGCGCATATTTAAAGAGCACAGATTTGATGGACTGGAGCACAGATTTAGACTTATGCGAACTTGCAGGTGAATGTAGCTGTAATTGTTCTTTAAAAGTAAAATGATGTGGAATCATAATGATTGCAGGTTTTCTTTTTCCTCAAGTGAGGAATATCACATGCAAGCCTTTTGAAAATAATCTTAATATCTATATTTGAAAAGTGAACATTTAGACAACTTCAATATAAAAATATATCCTTCTTTAGTGCATATTTCTGATGTTTAGACACTTTTGTGCACAGGGCAGGTAGAAGTACATTGTGCAAAGTTAGAGCTGTAGAAGAGATGGGATGAAGCGTTCAATGGGCCATGTTTCCACTCATTTCTACCTCCCTCCCCCTCCCTCTTTTTCTCCATCACATAAATCAGGGAGTCACAAAGGCGTATCTCTTTCTCCTCCTCTTTCTCGCTCTGTCCATCCCTCCTGTCTCCCTTCACTGGCTTTTATTGGGACAGTAGATAGAGAAAGCAGAGCAGATCCTCGACACACACTGACACACGTACAAAGCGTTGCCTTATGTGAAGCTAAGCACCAGCATGTATGCTACATTTACAAACTGCCAGGAGTTGGTTCTCTGAGTGTTGTGTGAAAACCAGAATGGCCACAATAACAGGATGGCACTTTGATCCCTGAATGGAAATTCTTCACAAGTGAGGGCAAATGTCAGGCGAGGGTCGAGGTTCAAGATCAGGCGAGCTGGGCGGGTCTGTTAAACCAAATTTTCCAGCCGAATGAGTCTAGCAACTCCTTTAAACATCTGAGTCATCTTTTTGTGTTAGTTTAAATTTAACTAATGTGTCATTTTCAGAAAATTAGCTACAATTACTCATATACACTTACCGGACACTTTATTAGGTATACCTTAGTAGTACTAGGTTGGATCTCCCTTTACATTCAGAATAGGGTTGTGCGATATGACGAAATATATCCGATGGCGAAATGAAAACATCTATATTTTCAAATTATACACTATGGTTTGTTTTGTGGTGTCGCAAAATACACTGTTTACAGCAATATTTTTGCATCAGGGCACAGAGAATACCAGCATAGCCAGTGAAGATGAGGAAGAACCAGGTAGTCAAAACAAATCAAGGACCTTATTCCTAAACGAGGGGCTACCTTTGTAGCATGGACTTGGTTTGGTTATAAAAAGTCTGACACAAATCAGAAAACTGTACTATGCAAATTATGCTGCAAACCGGTCCCCACCACAGACTCAAACATGACAAACCTCTTCTACCACCTACGCAAGAATCACGTGAAAGAGTATGGAAAGAGTTATATAGTTTCATGCATCGGACTCTAGGTACATGACGCCCAGCTGAAAACACTTCTTCCCAAGATTCACAGAATTTACAGAAAAAGCACTATTTTGTGATATATATCATTATCGGGATGAGAAATGTCCTATATCGTGATATGAGATTTTGGTCATATTGCACAGTCCTAATTCAGAACTGCTTTATTTCTTCATGGCGCAGATTTGTGATATGTAGCATTAACCATCAGAAGATGGATGTAATGTGGTCACGAAGGGACGGACATGGTCAGCAGTAATACTCAGGTAAGCTTTGACATTTATACTATACTCAGTTGCTATTTAGAGGCCCAAAGTTACAGATTAATACACCATCAAGACGAGCCTGAGCCGTTGATACGAGGCAGAATTCCAAATTTGGACCCCCACCTTCCAAGCGTTGCAGCAGAAATGGAGACTCATCAAGCGAGTCAATGCTATTTTTAATCTTCTACTGTCCAACTTTTGGTGAGTCTGTATAAATTTATAGCCTCAATTTCCTGTTCTGACACCCAGTGTGGTCTTCTGCTGCTGTAGCCCATCTGCTTCAAGGTTCAATGTGTTGTGTGGTCAGAGAAGCTCCTCTGCATACCTTGGTTTTAAGAAGTGGTTATTTGAGTTACTGTTGCCTTCCTATTAGCAGACTGACCATTCTCTTCTAGTATGAAAATGTAGTTCAAACAAATCAAATCAAAATTTAGTTTATTTCATGTGTTGATCTAAAACAATCTCAGGGCATTGGGACAATTTAAAACGCATAAAACTGTGTGGTAGAGAAGTGGAACAGGATGAGGCTGTTCTGAAGGATACTGGTTTAGATAAAGAGGACTGGGGGATGGAATATTGTCATTATTGTTCAGTGTACACATGAAAAAACACGGCAGAACGAAGGAGGTCAGTCAGAAAAAAAGGACAGAACTACCCAAGTATGCTCACTAGCTGCTGTGAAAGAAAGTTAGCTTTTATGAGTTTTTTACAGTAGTGGAACACAGTAGGGCTGTGCGATATGACCAAAATCTCATATCCCGATATAAGAATTCTATCGTCCCGATA